GTGCATTTGACGAGTGCTCTCAATTTAAGGCTCGCTATGCAATAAAAAAGGGCTTGGTGTTTGTGGCGCGCGGTCGGCGTCCTGACAGGCCGGGCAGCGTGGCGGCATGCCCCGGCACCGCCTCACCTGGGATTCCTTCTTTTACCTTGCCAGTGGAGAGCAGCTGGAGAAAAAGAAGGCAGGGAAAGTAAAAGGAGCAGAGTGCGGCTAAAAGGTTATCCCTGAAGGTAGAAAATTGGAAGAAGTGCGACAATGCGGGAGCCGCAGCCACCCTCTCCGTCAAAGTAGAGCCTCTGGGTCGTGTTGAGCTGCACCACTTCCGACTGCAGTAGGAAGGAAACATCCGGGCCTGAAGGCCTGCTACTGCCACCCGCCAGCCACCTCACCGCCACAGCACCAGGATGGGTGCGAGAGAGAGAGAGACCGGGCATGAATGTTCACACAGTGACTGCGGGGTGGCCGGCCTGTCTGTAACGAGCGAGAAGGGTGGACCTGTCGTAGGCTTCTCGCAGTGACTGTGCCAGGTCCTTGGTCCTTGGTCCTTGGCCCTTGGTCCTTGGCCCGCAGCTACGTCACTGTAGGACCTCCGGGACTGGCGCTTGCTGGATCGTTCTGCGGCTGGGGATGGTGGCGGGGCTCAAAACAAACCACGAAGCGACGGCGGGGCGGTTCGGCTTATTTCGCCCAACACGGAAGTCTGTCTCTCTCGCACCCCTGTGAGGGCGGTGACAGCACCGCTCGCTCGGCAGGCACGCATGCGAGCCAAGGCCGACCAGGCTGGCAAGGCCGGCGGCAAACTATGATTTATTCCGGGTGGGCCCCGTTCCACGGTGTCAATAACTTTCCGCGACGGCTTGCGACAGTGTGCGCGTGCGTGTGTGTAGAGCGCGTGCGTGTGTGTGTGTGAGAGAGAGAGAGTCTGTGTGTGCGTGAGCGTGCACCCCAATCCAGGTCGGTGGCGGATTTGTGGCCGAGAGAGCACGGTTCCCCGAACGGCCGGTCCGGTTCTATTGTTTCGCCAGATTAAACGGTTCCTCTCCTCCCCGATCAAGGCCACAAAGCTGGAGGAAGGGGCGCCGCCTCGCGCCTCGCCTTCCGTGGCGTGTTCCGCGGTTGTCCGCGACGTTCACGCCGTTACTCTGACGCCTCGGTTTGCGGGAAAACACTCAACTTTTTTCGCTTCTCCCTTTATCTTCCTCAACAGCTCACAGAGACGGTAATGAGATTTTTTAATCCACCTCTCTCTCTCTCTCTCTCTCTCTCTCTCTCTCTCTCTCTCTCTCTCTCCCTGTCTCTCTGGCCTTCTCTTTGGCCGGCCCTTTGAAACTGGAAAATGCGCTGCCTGTCGAATTAGCTGAATCCACGCGGAACGGGAACCCGGTCGTTATTTCCACTCTCGCAATGATGAGGAGGATGCCGAATCTGCACCCATCCCCTTCCCCCCTCCCCCGCCAGCGCCGAAAACAGAGACTCAGCTCTGGATGCGACAATCTGGCCGGCCACCTCCAGAGTCACGGCGCGAGAGTGCGGGGCTCTTTTGCCGAGCGCGCAGGATATCCCCATGGGCAGGAGTTTCCGTAATTGCCCCGGGATAGAACTAGTAGAAAGTTCTGCCGCGTCGGAGGCACCGCGCGGCTGTAAAATTAGGTCTCGTGAGTTAGGCGGCATGCGTGCCTCCATCCGGCACTGCACCGAGCAGCGTTTCCCCCTCTTTTTCCATACCTTGTTCTTTTTGGGGGCGAGGGGACTGGGAGCAACGAGGCGGATTGTTTTAATTTAGTTTGGTTCGCGCGGCTTTTGCTGACGGGCCGCTGCTCGATCCCTGGCGAGCCGCCATCGCCCATGATGTGAATTGGAGGCGACTTCTCACCGTCAGGCCGGCAGTATGCTGTAGGCCGCCAATTCGTGACAGTGGTTCGGTGATTTCTCTCTCGCGCCCTCGCGGGACGGAACGCCCCATGATAGAGAGAGAGAGAGAGAGAGAGAGAGAGAGAGAGAGAGAGAGAGAGAGAGAGAGAGAGAGAGAGAGAGACGGGGTGACTGAATCACTGTTTGGAATGATCCGCCCCACGCAGTGCTCGCATTGATTCGGACTGCCGTTTCGCACAGCTGCGTCTCGACAGGGTTGGCTTGAAAAAAAAAGATGAAGAAAACAGAGCGAAAATGCCTCGAACGATGTGACTATGAGATGAACGATGATTTATATCACCAATTTCATATGGGTAATGAAATTGGATCGAAGCAACGCACTATCATTAATTTTGTAAGAATTCTACCAATTTCGCGATGAATCCAAGTTTGCGCTCGCCACCACTCCATTGCTTTTTAATAATGAGGTAATTGAAATATTTTAGGACGACTGCCCCCCCCCCCCAAAAAAAAAAGTTTTCTTGTCTTTCATTGCTAAAAATGTTCCCGAAGAAGAGCATGAGTTGCTAAACATTGCAATATCATTTGCATTTTAGAAAAGAATTGCATTGCAGCAGCTGAAATGACAGTGAACTACAAGTTTCACCGGTTACGCCGCGACCCTTTTTTGTCCACCGCACAGCCCGATCCCTGCGAGGGTCACGCGGCTCCTCGGTGGGGAGCGCGGTGTCAACAGGGAAGGAAATCAGGCCTGGCAAGGTTACCGCGCTTCGCTGCCCCGGTGTGAGGGAGCTGGAAAAGTCTCAGCCGCATTGGTGGGGCTGCCTGCTGCAGGACGGAAAAACGACTTGGCATCTGAAAGAAAAAAAAAAACTGGAGGAAAAGCGGAGGGAGGTTAATTCGCAGACATTCATTCGGGTGATCTGTCGAGGGAGTGGCGCTCGAAGTCTGTCGTCGGGTTTGGAGGCCGCCAACAGGTTGCCGGCGGAATGACTCGCACCAGCCAGGGCCTCCCTGACTCACTTTGACCGCCTGACTGCCTCGCCTCCAGCCTTGCCGCCCATTCGGACGTTACGCGTGGCAGGGCCCGGCAGGGCGCGACCAGACGAGCAAAGCACACCTCGAGCGGTGGGCTTTCGGCCCGCTCCGTGCACCTCGTCTCACTTCGGCAAGCCTCGTCACGCTTCGGCACGCATCGTCACGCTTCGGCACGCATCGCCACGCCTCGGCCCGACACGTACACGGCGAGAACACAACACCATCAGGGCGGATCAGGACTCGGGGGGCGAGCCGTCTGCAACTTTAAGTCTCTCATTATTGCAGCGCAACTACTTTGCCGGTTGCCAAAACAAAAGTTAGTCCAGCGGAGGGAGAGACTCTCCTCGCCGCTCCTTCTCGTTCCAGATTGCGCCCACCCCCTGCGTGCCCCGTGCGCGGCCCCCGTATGCCACGCCGACGCAACTTTCACGCAAATTGATTTTGCATTCGATAACAAAACACATGCGGCGATCCCGAGTTTCTACTCTGTTCGCTCGCATGAGTAAAGGCGAACGCGGCGCGTTTTTCCGATCCAACAGAGTGGCCTTTCTCTTCCACTAAAAGCAAAACAAACAAAATCCAAACCCTGGCCTCTGACCAATCTTGACTCAGGCCTCGCAAGTTTGCGAAAAAGTTTTCTCTTGTCCCAAAAATTGTTTGTTGTGCGTTAGGTCTGGGCACGCCATGACAGCGATTGTGATGGTGTTGATGGTATGGCTTCGTGTTTAACGGAGACGTTCGCATACGTGTTCTCTGTGACCAACACGCATCGTTGGAGTGCCGTGCTCCAAGCGCGGACACGACATGCAGCGTCTGGAGGATGGAGCTCTGTCACTAAGTCTCCCCGGACTCCGCATTATTTGCACAGCCAGCCAGTAAACAATGCGCCCCCTCCCCACCCCGTTCCTTGTTTGCACCGTGTCCCGACAAGGCCGGGCTAGCCGAGTCATTACCCGGACCGCTGCGGCGCGCTGCGGGGACGGTCCCAGGGACGTCTCCCTCGCAGTGTCCCTGCCTGGCTCGCGCCCCGCGGCGTCGTAGCGGGTCGCGGCGGAGCGGATCCGTCGCGGCCGGCCGATATTTTGCCGAGGTTTGCCTCAAGTAAATCTGCGTGATGTGCCGCACATGTCAAACAGCGGGGCGCAAACACCGGCCCAGCCCTTGAGTCTATATGACAGTGCGATTGGAAAGCAGAGCCGCCCCCCTCTCTTTCCGTGTGTGTGTGTGTGAGTGTGTGAGTGTATGTGTGTGCGCGAGTGTGTGAGTGTGTGTGTGTGAGTGTATGAGTGTGCGCGAGTGTGTGAGTGTGTGTGTGTGTGTGTGTGTGTAGGTGTGTGTGAGAGAGAGAGAGAGAGAGAGAGAGAGAGAGAGAGAGAGAGAGAGAGAGAGAGAGAGAGCTCTTGCTCGGCATTGGCGTAAGGTGGGCGCGGCTAGGGGGCGAGGATCCTCCGTGGGCCTCTGGGCCCGTCGGCCTTTGGGACTGTGGGCCTCGCCACACGAAGGCATCTTGGGCCGGCTCGGCGGGGGGCTTCGATCCAGTCGGCGGCAGGGAGTCAGTGGGTCTGTAGGCTCCCTATGTGAATGCGGCGAGCGGCTTCCCATTGTGGCGTCTGGCCGGCCGGGCTCCTCACTTCCCTAATGCCTCGGCGAGCCTGCAGAGTGATTCCGGTCCGTCTCTCTCGCACTCATGGAACGTGCCGCATCGGTGCGAGAGAAACAGACCGCAGGACAGGCTCCGCAATTCCAGGTTCGATCACGCCGCCCGCTGGGGGACGACTGTGATTCTGGTCCCCGTGCGCACGGCCCGGCACGACTTGGAGAGCTTGGGGTAATACACCACAGGCACGGCACCACAGGGAAGACCAGGCAGGCCTACCGGCCAGGCTGACCACTGGCACCACCTTCCCAGCAGCCGACGAGGAACCATCGCTTTGTCTCCGTCGCACTCCTTGGGCGGTCGGAAGGGGTGCGGTGGAGACGGAGCGACGAAACAACCCTCTGTAACCACTGGGCAGTGCCCGGCAGCGCCAGGGCAGCGCCAGCCCGACACCCAGGGAAACTTTGTATTAACATTCCCGCCTTCTCTGTTCCAGATGCGCATCGGGCTGCACTCGGGCACGGTGCTGGCGGGCGTGGTGGGCCGCAAGATGCCGCGCTACTGCCTGTTCGGCCACAACGTGACGCTGGCCAACAAGTTCGAGTCGGGCAGCGAGCCGCTCAAGGTCAACATCAGCCCCACCACCTACGAGTAAGCATCATTGTGACCAACATGGGGCGTGTCTGTCAGTCAGTCGGGCTCGTTCGCCTCGCCCGTCTCGCACCCAAGGGAGGCCCTTCGGGGTGTGCGAGTGAGACAGAGCGACGAGACACTGTCGGCCTGTCCTCCGGGCGTCGCGCGGTGCGTCCCCGCTGCGTCCCCGCTGCGTCCACGGAGTCCCCACGGGCCTGCGACGGCGGCCTCGTCACGCAGCGTCTTTTCCCGAGGGGGTGCGCGCGCCACGGCACGGCAGCCAGCCACGCAGCCAGCCACACGCTCACCGTATATTTTCTCATCCCTGAAATCCGTTTAGCGCGGTCTGCGGTCACGGTCGGGTCGGGAGGGCTTCCAGGCGCTTGCAGCCCGGCCGTGCCGCACCCCCTGGGCCGCTAGCGGGGGTCCGGGTCTGGGGTCCGCGGTCCGCCTGGAGTGCTTTCTCAACTCCAGCGGCGCGCCCCGAAGCCAAGCCCGCGCCACCGTCGGCCACCGTGCACCCGTACCCGCGTCACGACACGCGCGTCCTCCAAGTTGACCGCCAGGCCACGCCGCCGACCCGGCCGGGCCGCCGACACAGTGGAGATTCGCTGTCCCTTTGAGGTGCGGGCGGCGCTGCGCTAATGTGATTGCACGCTGTGTACAGTGTCGGGCCTTCAGTCGGCCTGCAGGCCGAGCCGTGCCTGGCCGGCCAGGGCGGCCAGCTCCAACTCAGTTTCGTACCTCTCACCCACACATGCCCCGGGCTGGGGCTGGCTGCCCTGCCTGGCCGCCTGGCCGTAGCGACGCCGCCCACACCATTCCCCTGAGAGGCTTTCGACGTGCCGCACCAAAAAGGGACCCCTCTTCATTTTGCAGGAGTTAGCGGAAATTGCATTTTCATTTGGATCTCAATTTTCGCTCTTGGGCCCGAGTTCTGTACCACCCTGTGTCCTTTTTTTTGTCGCGTCAAAAAAATCCAATAAGAATCTCCAAGTCCCGCGCGGTCAGCACATCCACAGTGTGAGAAAAAAGTACGGAAAAAGTACGGAACATGTCTGGTCAATAATTTGCCTGGAACGTCCGTACTTGCCAACTACGGAACGTTCCGTACATTTTTCCGTGCCCATTTATGGAGCAAGTACGGAACGTTACGTTCTTTTCCCCGTACCTCCGTACTATTTTTCTGTACCATTTCCGTACCAAAGGACGGAATTTTTTTTACAGTGCAGAAAAAGGGTCTCGATTTACAATTAGAATGGTTTTACAGACATCTCTTATTTATTGTTCATCGTGTTGAGAAATGTCTAACTGATCTCAATTTGGAGAAACTTCGAAAAGTCACTCAAAACTGTAAGGACTAAAACTTGGATTTCAAGGGCATTTTTACAGTGCACGCACTCTATGTGCTAGGATCAAGAGTATGGAGAACTCGCGCACTTCCTGGTGCGGAGTAATTTTCCACACTTGGACGTGTGGCGTTTGCATGTAGTCTCCACGCCGCTCCACGCTTGAAGTGTGGAGGCTGCAAAATCGGCACTCCCCGAGCGGAGACAGAAAATTCCACACATCCGCATTTCAAGTGCCCAATGAGAATAGAAACGTCCATGGAAAGCTCATTATGAGCATACATAGTACAGACTAATTAACTTTGTCATACGAAGAAATAGTTCGTAAATTACGTAGTATTTTCTTTGTAAGCTTATGTATACGCGTATACGCTCAAAATACTTTGTTATTACCAGATGATTTTCTTTTAGTAAGGCCTAAAAAAGTTTGTAAGATTTTTCAGAGTGGACCGCTTGGTCTGACAGTGCGTGACGAACACTGACTGGCTGTCATTCTGCTTGCAGCATGCTGTGCCAGCACGAGGGCTTCACGACGGAGGCGCGTCCGCGGGACTGCCTGCCCAAGGGCTTCCCGGACAACATCCCCGGGACGTGCCACTTCATCCTGTCCTACCGGCACCCCGGCGTGGCGCCGGCCGCGCGCCTCGCCGACCACGTGGACGCGGCGCGCCGCCAGCTCGGCATCGGCCCCGAGTTCGGCGACGAGCCGGCCGCGGAGGCCGCGGAGGCCACGGCCGAGTTATGACTAGAGGTGTAAAGTGGGGACCACTGGGGGGCCGCTACGCGTAGCTACGCCGCGCAGTGGCCATACCCCCCGCAGCGCGGTGCCCCGCCGAGACGGGGTCTCTGGCGCGCGGGGTAGTGGCGACGCAAGGGACGCGCCGACCGAAGAAGTGGAAGTGCAGAAGCGACGAGTGAGAGCAAGTGAAGAGAATACGCCAGGACTCGATACCATCCATTTGATGCTCCGAATTCAATGTATACAAATCGATTCAACGCTTGATTTAATCATTCCTTTATTTTTCTCACGGCATTGAAAAGAGTTTTTAGCTTCCTTTGCAGTAGTAGATGGTTGATCTGGTCGCAGCGTTCAATGTCTACAGGTTGGTGTGGAATGCAAAAGGTAGCCATGCATTTGCCGCCATCCACTTAATAGTACTAGCGTGGCTGCGTGTGTAAATGAAGCTAACTGAAATGGGCTATGTAGAGCGTAGCGTGACTCGTCTGGAGAGCCGCTACTTCTCCGTGTCGGTATGAGTGATTTGGTCCAAGTGCTCTTCGATACGATGATTGTGAAACTGTGCCTCTGTACCTCCTTCCTAGATATTACTGAATTAGTTGAAAGCGTGGATCGTTACAATAAGCGTATTATTGTGATTAAGTTTAATATCAGTGTAAATACATTGTTGGACACGTCAGATAGTGTGTACATACTGTAGTATGACAATGTTCTTCTTCCTACGAGGACCTTCGTGTGTACAGTGTAAGTGATTTTAAATGTTGCAGGGGAAACCACATTCTTCATAGACATGCTTGAGTAGACTTGTCATTTTCGCGAGGTGCCAGTATGGTGGGCCGTTTCTGTGGGGTTTCTACTCGGTGGCATCCGGTGTCCCTCTCCAGAGAGCCCCACTAAAGTGCCTTTTCGGTTTTAACTTCACTTGATAAATATCGCCTGGAGCGCCATTCATCCTGATGTGTTTGTTCTGTGCGTGTTGCACTTGTACTCACCAAACTTGCTTGTTTATCACGCTGTGTGGCAATCGCCTTCCAGAGCCATCTTCTGCAAGAAAACAAAAAAAAATCACGACAGAAAACGGACTTCTTTTTATAAAAAAAAATTATAGATAAATGCAAAATTGGTTGAAAATAAAAACCAAATGTCTAAATGTTTGAGTTTTCTTCGGTGCTCTGTGTTGAGTTTTTAGTTCGGAGCCGTCGCTACTCCCGGTTCCCAGTTGCCAACCGCTGCTCCAGGGCGATACTCCACGCGCGGCGCTACTCGCCGCTCGCAAACCGGATTGAGTTGATCTGGCGCCTCGGCCAAGGCCACAGCTGATCACTGTTCAATATCCAGCGATCAGTGACCTCCACCGGAATAGTGGGATTTATTCGGAAAGTAGACTAGCAGTCTGATTTATTCGCTGGCATGGTGGAGGCGGCTGGGGTGACAGGCAAAGGATTAACAAAGATGCTTCAAATAGATAGCATCGTACGCTGAGTGCACTCCGTGGTCTGTGGAAACACAGCAACCTAAAGTTCTATTATAAATTATTCCTGTGAATATCAATTAGTAGAAACATAGTTACTTTGTGGCTCGCGTCACTTCACCGTACAAAGAACGTCCGTCACCGCCCTCATTATTTCAAGGTTCACCTGTTATATTTTTAGAAACGAGATACACCCCCGTGAGGTCGATACGCCCTCACTACTGATGCAAACACGCCACCGATGGGAGTTTCAGTATAGAGTTCCAAGTCGTGAACGGCCCGACTCTCGTTGGACTAGTTGAATCCTTCCTTACAGATGTTCAATAAAACCATATCGCACAGAGCGCCCCGGTAGACTGGGAATGTGGCAAAAGATTGTCCCAGAGCTTCCTCTGACGTCACGCCCGGCAGAGGTGCCCTCCCCCTAGAGGGCCACACCACGTCAAATCAATTTTTAAAAAGGGAACGTCGAGGCGGCCGGAGGCGGCACCATAAAATGCAGGGCACGGCGATAAAAGCTTCACTTTAATTATATTCCATTTATTAATTCATTTTTATTTTTTGTGCTCTGTTCCTCTTAATCTATCCAGCCAAAAAAAGAACAGCTAATTCTTTGAAAAGAAATGTTATGTCCGAGCCAACTGGGATGATTGTGACGTCCTCTGAGATTATAAAGGAGAAAGTCAGCAAGCATCTATCTATGTAGAGCTAGCCACCATTCGCAAACGCCCCCAGTGGGACTATGAGAAACGAGGGCGTGTTTCACAAGATGTTCTTTGCATCCCTATCCAGAGTTTAATTATGTTTGGCCACTTCAGAAAGATTACATTCTCGTACGGATGTTTGAGGTGTAAAAAAAATACCACGGCGAAGGTTACCACACCGGTTGAGGTAGACTGGAGGGATGGGCCTACAAGGGTGGCAAGACGGATTGCCTTTCGCTTCACAGTGTGGCGTATTGCCACTCGGCAAAGGATCTTTCCTAGACCCTCAAGTACAGATGAGTCATCAATGGATGATATCCACGGCCAAAATGCCCGGGCAACACCCGATTAACTCCCGGCTGGCTTCCATCCCGCAAAGATTCGACCAAGGTGCGGCCTGCACCTGGACTGCACCCGGCCCTCATGCTAGGAGCGAGACATCACGGTGAAACAAATGTGACAGAATGTCACATTCCTTTTAGCATTGTGTCACATTCACTGAAGTGTGAATAAGCTTATTTATGGCCGATTTACATGAAACGAATGTGACATAATGAGAAAAGCAACGTGACAGTTTGTCACATCAGCGTGATGTGACGTTCCTGGAATGAGAGAGCTGCCTTTTCGGGTGGGTGCTGGAGCGCGCTGGACAACTGGAGTGCAGGACAGCGCTTGATGCAGGCAAGCCGGACTACGCTTTCCCAAGGCCAGGATGCGTGCCTGTGTTAACAATGACCCCAAGGAGAACAGAAAAGTCAACTTGATGTCACCACCAGGAGTGGAGCCTGCGGCTGACCCAACACTATAACAAGTGAACAAGTGAAAAGGTCACGGCTAGGTACCATTTTGAGGTCAAAATGATTTAGATTTAGGTCTAAAGACACCTGTAAGGAAATGGCACGCAGTAGCGGCCGCGCGATCCAAAAGGCGCTCAGTTGCGGCCCTGCGATCTGAAAGGCACGCAGTTTGCCGCGCGCGATCCAAAAGGCACTCAGTTTGCCCCGCGTGATCCAAAAGACACGCACTTTACCGGCCGCCAGCGGTAAACTGCGCGTCTTTCGGATCGCGTGGGGCAAACTGAGTGCCTTTTGGATCGCGCGTGACAAACTGCGTGCCTTTCAGATCGCAGGGCCGCAACTGAGCGCCTTTTGGATCGCGCGGCCGCTACTGCGTGCCATTTCCTTACAGGTGTCGAAATTACCTCCCCGTGACTCAGTGTTCTCCTTGGGACACAGCTTTCTTCCGGGTTAGACGACGAAGAGTGACTTTCTTAAAACCTACTACAGATAAAGAGCGTCCTCAAGAATCCAGTCAGCAAATACTGACTCGGCAAGTTCGACAGGGAACAGACGTCAATTCGACGTGAAATCAGCTGATTTTTCATCGATTCTTCGTTTAACGCGGTCGAATCTCCAACACCTCATTCCGGCTGCGCCACGTCGTTTAAAATTAACTTCCAAGTTGAAGTGGAAGTGGAAGTTCCAACCCGTGTTCCTATTTCGCAATTTGCACCACCTTGATCCCGGCCCGGAAGAGGTTAGGCTCCTGCCAACATGATGCCTTTTGACTTCCGGTCTAAATTACCCTATTGTCAAATGCCCGTTGAAATATGGTTACAGCGAGATCGCGCCCTTGATTTCCCCTCCCGAATCGAAACGTGATTCTGAAAAAAAAAGGAGATTAGGGAAACGGAGAGCCGAGACGCGTAATGTTGGACTTGCCACGCACTGGGCGCCGATATCACTGTTTACCCAGGGAGGCAATCAGGCTGCGGACCCGTGCACCCGTGCCGGTCGTGCCTCGGATTCTGCTGATGACCCGCTTCGGCCGCGGTGCCGCGGTGTCGCGGTCCGCGGCGTCCCGCCCAAGGCCTGTCGGGACCGACGGGTCCAGGGCCTCCTAACTCCTAATCTGCTTGCGATGCGATAGAGGCGCCAGGCCGCCAAACAGTGTCTCAGAGACATTCCACAGGTGCGCAGCCACGGCTTATCTAGCAGATCCACACGGAGGCGACTTGAAGCCGTCAAAGTACCCCAGGTGGGCCAACTCAGCGGGCACCGCTCCGAGGCTAAGGCTCCCCAGTGAATTGGCGGAATGTGGCGCCCGGGGCGCTTCGGGGCGGGCGGCACTGTCCACTCCTGAATAGGGGAAGTGGCGGGGCGTGGAGAAGATAGAGAGGCAGTGCATTGATCCCTTCGTCTGGCAGGTTATCTCCAACTGGTTCTGGGGGCGTGAAGAATAATAGGGTATTTCACTGATGGCTCGAAGCAGAAGGCGCAAAAAAAAACGAAACACAAACCCCTGTCAGAAATAATTATGACATTTTCCATGAGAAAACCCCATGTTACTGGAAGCGTCTTTTCAAAGAAAAATTCGTTGATTCTATCTTCTTCTTCCTCTTCGTCATCCACCGGCCGGCAAAATGCTGTACAGCTTTTCGTTTAAAAGAGTCGCGGAATTTTAGGACAACTTTCAATCAATCATGTGTGAACAAAACAGGACGCGTTCTTGATAGGTACCCTAGGTCCCGAAATAAGGTAGGAGGAGAAACAATACTTGAATGAACAAGTGGAATAAAGTTTTGCCTGGAACAAAAAAGATTTCGGCAAATAAAGTTTTTGACTGCTTGCTAGCGGACACTGTTGTGAACTTCGTCTGAACTACGCTTGTGACATCAGGGATCAGCTTCTGACTGTTCGCGGTAACCGCCGCTAGGTGGCGTACAGTAAGATAAACTTTGATTCTTCATTGAGTAATAACTACGAACGCTGGTAGAACTGCTCCAAGCGAGTAATCCGGTCCGGCGACGGCCGTCACATATCGCGTCCTTTTCCTTTCTCTGAGCGTCACGGTGTCACTCGCTTGACCCGCCCGCCTTCCGCGCATTGCGTCTGCGCCGTGGTGTGCGAGTGAGAGGGCCGGGGGCGGCCGAGGGGGCACGCGCATCGTCCCGACCATGTCCCGACGTCCGCGGCAGGCCGCGCCGCATCAGCTGCCACACGCTGACCCTGGTGAGGTTAGGTCAGGCAGGCCGAGCAGCGTTCCCTCCGGTTCCCTCACACTCGTAGCTCGTAGGACGATCCGCGAGAGAGAGAGAGAGAGAGAGAGAGAGAGAGAGAGAGAGAGAGAGAGAGAGAGAGAGAGAGAGAGGGAGGGAACCGACAGGGCCGCCGCGCTGCGACATTTGTCTGCAATCGTTGGAGGCCATGGTCTTGACGCGTAGAAGGGACGGTTCCCTCGTCGTAGCGCTTGGCCTACTTACGGCCCTTGGCCGCCTCTGGCCGTCTCGCCTCCGGTCCCAGGAAGTGGACGGGCCTGGCCACCGGGCTGCGCATTGGGCCTGGCCTCTGGGCCTGGCCTCTGGGCCCGGCCCGCACCCCGACGAACCCCGGCCTCACTACGCAGCTGTAAAATGTTGCACAGTGCAGAGAAACGTGTCTGGAAATTACGTATTCATAGTGTGGCACCAACGCAGTCTTGTCTGGCGGCGAGCTTTCAGCCCGCAAGACTGGAACGGAACCCGGAGGCTGGCTGGAACCTGGAGCCACCCTGCTGACTGACGTCAAGCGCTGGCCGCAATGCCCTCCGGCTGCGTGCAAAAATAGCAGAGTTTGGCACCGATGCCGTCCAATCCGCGGCCAGGGAACATTCCCCCGCGACGACGCGGCGCCGATTTTACGTAACATCAGCTGAATCATTCATTCACCGAGACGGACTGCCGACGAGGCGTCTGCCTGCGGGAGACAATTATTGCGCGTCGGAGAGGGTGGCGGGCTTTGTCGCGACGGCCGGCAAGACGGCGGCAGTGCGGCGGCTGAGCGGCGCGCGCGGTTAGGGTTGGGGGGCCGAGAGCCTCTCCGGCCTGGACGAGTATACCGCGGGGCCAGCCTTGCAAAGGAAGAGCCACCTGTGGAATCAGCACAACCATCTCGGACTCGTCCCTGTTCGCTGTCAGCTCATGCGGCTCGGTTAAAAAGTTGCACCGATGAGTTCACAAACCGGTGCAAGTGTCCTCCACTTCAGTATGGCAAAAAAGCCAGCAGTCCAGCTATTAATTCAAACACATCGACGACTTTCGTGGAATTTCTTGCTTGTTTTTTTTTTTTTGAGCAACACATGCGTGCTGGGAGGGTCAGAGGTCGAACTTTCTACTTTATCTGCGTGTAGAAGATAACACGCTTTTCGTAATTCTTTTACTTTCTTGCAACAGTTTTGGCTCAGGCAGACGACAAAGTCCCAATCAAAGACATTGTGCCATCATTCTGATTAAAACCGCCAGAAAGCGAAGGGGGTTTCTGTGTCTAAGGGATACCGACGCGACTGTGAACTGTTCGTGTCCTCCAGGTGGTGAATAACACACAAGCCGGGCCAAATCCAGCCCCACGGCATGCCGCCCCTGTCCCCGCAGCCTGTCGCTTGCTGTCGCTCAATAACGACCAGGGCGCTGACGAGGCCCCCCCGCGGCCCCGGCTTGGCCCTGGCGCCACCCTGGTCAGGCAGCCAGCCTCGTAGCCAGCGGTGGCGGCGGTGGAGGTGGATTTTTGTAGCGGTGGCGGTGGCGGCGGCGGCGGCGGCGGCGGTGGCGGTGGCGGTGGCGGTGGCGGTGGCGGTGGCGGTGGCGGTGGCGGTGGCCCCCTTGGATACGGCCGCGCGTCCCACCCGGTCCCGGGCCCGATCCCGCCTTGCATAAGCCGCACCGTGCCGCCCGCTCCGCCCGCTCCGCTTACTGCTGCAGCCCGCCGCGCCAGTCGAAAAAAGAAGAGACGAGATTGTAGCGGCGCCGCACACGCTGCACTTATTGGGGGCCTCCACGTGCAGCCACGCGCCCGGCGATGTCGTCGCCCTGCCTCTCTCGCACCCACGGAGCGTCCCGTGCGCGTGCGGGAGAGGCAGAGCGAAGACACCGCTGTGCGCCCGCGCCTAGCGGTGAGGCTGCGGGGCAGGGCGGCCAAGCGAAAACGGGGCCAATTTCATCCTTGTTAGGTTCGACCGCGTGGCCCACTGAGGGGGAAACAGCTGCTGTTATATGGGGCCTGCGCTAGCTTAATTTTCTTTAAGGAAAGTTTCCAATTTTAATTTGAGTGTTGAACTAATCCGCCTGCGCACTTGCACTCGATCTCTGCCCTGGCTGCGGCCAGGCCTCGGGCCAGGCCGCCTAAATGGCATACGATCATGTGTGGTCTGGCCCTTAATGGTAATGGTAATGCGAGGTAGGCAACGCACACAGCGTGCGCGCACGCGTGCGTTGCGGCGTTGTCTACCCCGTACTTCGCAGGCGTTCGACGAGGTCGTGCCGTACTCGTTCTGGTCGGTGCGGTGCTGTCGGCGCACGGGTGTGGAGAAAGAGAGAGAGAGAGAGAGAGAGAGAGAGAGAGAGAGAGAGAGAGGGGGGGGGAATAGACGCACGAGTCGCGTTGATCAACGTGGCTCGAGCCACGAAACGAAAGCTTCGATTTTCGGTTTTCGGAGGTTTGCACCAACCTAGGCGTAACCTCAACGGTACTGCTGCTTTACATTTATCTGGGTGTGTTATTGTGTGCTCTGTGTGCGTGCGACGGAGACGGTACGTGTCGGACTTTGCACCCAATATGCTTACGCGAAGGCAAATACCACGTTCTCGAGCAACCTCTAAGAGTAGCTTGGCCGGCACCATTGTCCGATAGTGGTTTTGTGGTTGCGCTATATTTGAGACCGTGATAAGCAGGGTGGGTACGTCCGACGAGGTCCGTCCACGCGCCTTGCCTGAATGGCGTTCAAAGCGGCCGGGGTACCGGCCTGGAGAAAACGGCGCCGTCAGCGCGGAGAGCGCGGCGGTACGCACTCAATGAATGAATCAGACAGACGCCGCGCCGCGACGCACCGCGACGCCAGGTGGTGATTCATAGTGCCTTCGTGCTACTCAAACGTGCGAGCGGTTGCTTTTTTTTCTGGCTTTTCTTCCCCTTGCAGTTGGGATTGGGAGCACCGCTTCCGTCACAACACACGGCCGGGCCTCGTCGGTGTTCGGCATTCCGCCCAAACGACGCGGCCGCCAAACCTCCTGGGCCTCCAAGCGGGGACCGTTTGAAATTCGCTGACCGCCGCGGCTGCTTGCCTACCAAATGGCGAAATAGACCCACCGCCAAATCGGGGAATCGGGGCCAGGCGCGGTCGGCGTGCAAGGCGTGCACCCCCTGCTTGCTTTCGGCGGGCCGCCTAGCCGCGTGAGGACCACGCATTCGGAGCGTTGGGATGCAGCGGTGCGAATCGTTTCCTTGACGAGACACCGACAGCAAGAGCCGCTTCGCAGCCTACGCCCTGAGCCCTAGAGCGGCTCCCCCCCCCCTCCCCCGCCGCGACGGATCCAAGACCTAATCGCACATCAGCTGAACGTTTTGTCGAGTCGGCGTCGCGGTCCGCGTAAACTGACGGCAGCGACGGGAGGGGCGTGTGTCGCGTGCGCCCACGCCCCACCATGCCCCGCCCCGCCTCACCATGCCCAGCCCCACCCCGCCCTGCCCCGCCACGCCACGCCCCGAGTGGACCACAAGGAGACACGCGGTGGTCCGCGCTGAGTGGTCCCTCGACCGTGGCCCAGGGCAGACGACGCGTTCCAAGTGAGTGGTGCATGGTGCTGGCGATGCGGGCGAGTTCACGTCTCGCAGTGCGGGGCATGAGGCTGAGTTAAACTCACCGTACACGTACCAAAGTAGGGAAAACTTGAGAAATTTGGCGTTCTCAAGGGCAGTCATTATCTTTCCCACGGTCGTTTTTTACTGATATGGGTAGTCGTTAAATCAAAAGCTTCACTCCGTGAAAATTTTCTGAGCGTCTATTGTGTTTTACACTTCGTCGGCGATAGGCCTAATTCACATTCGAAACGCCATTCGGAAACCAGTCGGCGAAAGAATGATAAGTCGATGGCGATAATCGAGTTTCTTCCCTTGATTCTTCAGGCAAAATATCGATTTGACCGTAGTCGATGATCGACGAACAGTTTTTGAGGTGCCATAATTTTGGTATTGTGGATACACTGTAGGGCGCGGCCGGGTTCCCAGCCTGCCACGCCCCTTTCCCTTGGGCCCTTCAGAGGCGCGAAAAACCCGTGACGCTCAGAGCGAAGCACGAAGCAGGCGGCGGGAGAGTGACACTCGATGTCGCGTTCCGAGCAGCGTATCTTCGTTTTGACAACCGTACGCAAAGTCCTATCGTTGCTTATGCGGCGCGGCGAGGGCCCAGCGCCCGTCCCCCACCCGATCCAGAATGTGCGATGCGGTGGAACGTGCCCCAAACACGGGCAAAGTGCGATCATTTGCCTACCTTCCAGGCGGCAGTCGTATCCCCCCCCCTCCTTCCCCCCTCCCCGTCTAGCCAGGTGAAGCACCTTGCGACGCACAGAGTGCCTCGCCTTTTTTTTGAACCGCACTTTCTCCGGCACTTTGGTTGGCTCGCGAAAAGTTGCAACATTGTAGCAGTCCGCCGCGGAGCTGGTTTGCCACTCAAATTATTTTCTAAAAATAATCGCGTTCTCGTTCCACGGTTTCAACGGCGCCCGCTGAACGGGTGGCTGGTCCGCGAATTAGCATGCGACAGCATTCCAGCTGATGGGCTTCCTCTGCAACACGCACGGATCAAGGATTACCCCCCAAAAAACTCTCAAACAGTTCTCGTCTTTTCGTATTTGGTTTCCGATTTTGACGCGTGTTGTTGACTTTGTTCGGCCCCGACGCCCGCCGTGGCCAACCAGGATGTTGTTGTTGTGGGCCAGCGGAGGAAAATGCCCAGGCGGCCGTCCGGAGGCCCGTGAGGCCTGGAAGGTCCCCGTGTGACAGGTCCGGTTGTGCAGCATGGAAAATATCGACGGCAGAAAGGCGCCTGCAAACGGGGTCAGTCAGGACGCGATGCGCGCTGCCCCACTGTGCAACCAAATGTGGAGAACTCCGCAATGCGGAGATGTGGAAGTTTCGGTCTGCCCACTTGGAAGTGCGGAGTTTCTCAGTCCCCACGCTTGAAGTGTGGAGTTCTCCACGTTTGCATCATGCCAAGGGGCTCTGCTACACAGTTAGAGAGTGTGGAGGCTGCAAACTCCACGTCGCAGTGTGGAGATTTAATCCGCACCAGAAAGTGCGGTGATCTCCACACTTGATTCGACCGCATCGCGCTAACCGCCCCGCTTTTGCAGGAGACGATGACTCTGCGCATGGCCATGGCCGTCCTGCTGGCGATGGCCCTCCTGGAGGGCGCGCTGGCCCGCCCCCACAGCCCCGACCCGGAACAGAACCAACTGCCCCCCATCCGGCACCACAAGCAGCACCACCGCCACGGCGCGCACGGCCTGCACGGCCGCCACCACATCGAGCTCGAGCGGCGCCAGCTGTGTGGAAGGAACCTCAGCGAGGCCCTGCGGCTGCTGTGCGCCGGCCGAGGCTACTACAGCCCCGACAGCGCCTCAGGTAGGCGGCCCGCTGCCCGGCCAGCCCGAGCATCGAGGAGGAGGTCAATTTGCTTTTCACAACTTTTTATTTTTTTAGGTGGTCACATAAAATTTAAATCAAACAATTTTTAAATTAAAAAAAGATAAATTTTCAAAAAATGTAAAAAATTATTTTAAAAAAAAATTAGTTTTTTGCATTTTTTAAGTTTTGGTTCTATTTGCATGACGCGCGAGTCTTGAACCCTGGCTTTGTTGCAGGGTCCTCGTCGAGGCACGGCGACACCGGCGTGGCCACCGAGTGCTGCTCCCAAGGCTGCTCGCAGCAGGAGCTGGAGCTGTACTGCCAGCCCCGGAAAAACGCGGCGCCGCTCGCCCTCAGCGACTCCTCGCCCGAGACCACGGAGGACCCCGACAGGTAGGTGTGGCTGACGACGGGGACGTCTTGAACGTGGCCGTCCTGGCTACGGACGTCCTGGACGTGCCCGGACGGTGTGGCTTCATGGCCGCGACGTTGGCGGCAAACAACTCCAATTTCATTGATTGATTATTGATCGCGTAGCGCCTCGCTGGACTCGGCACACCAGGCCAACCACATCAGGCACTCGATGGAGGCGGCCGGCAGCGCGGACAACAAGCCGACCGTCGTGGGGGGGAAGGTGTCTTCCGACGTGAGTGTTTACATGCCACCGCTGTGTTAACATCACCCTGTCTCTCTCTTACTCATGAGAAGTCCCGCCAGGGGTGCGGAGGTGGCTGACTCGCTGACTTTGGCGTTGCTTTTGCAGATGGCCGCCATGCACTTCAACGTCTCCGAGATGATCAAGGTGGGCACCATCCCCCAGCAGCACTTCATCCCGGTGCGCATCCCCCTCCGCCACAAGTCCAACTCGCTGCAGTGACCACCACCGTGCCGACGAGGCTTGGCCTGTTTGGCGATCGATCTCAGCTGGCGAGCAGCCTCATATCACTTCTAGGCGGCTCAAAACTCGGATTTAGTAATTGTTTTTTTTTTTAATTTTTCTGTCGTTGGAGACATCTTGTTTTAAAGTACAAACGAGATTTCGGCATCCTTCCAACCTTTGAGAAGCATTTCATAAATCCAATGATTAAGTTGTTTTTTTAAACGTATCTCTCATGTGGGCTTTCGTCCCAATGCGGAAATAAGTTCAATTCGTTTTAAAATTGGACTCTAACTGTGATGGCTTATTTAGACTTCGAGGGTAGTACTCTCAACGTGATATAGAAGTGTAGTTTTTCGGCACAGTTCCTATCTTTTACAAAGGAAGTCAAAAGCCGCGATGGTTTTTAATGTATTTCCCCCGATTTTTTCCCTTTTCATTTGAAGTAGAAATCATGTTCCTAAAACAATACTGAAAAGTTTGCATGCTTCGGTCTCATATCGTTTAATTTGTGTACTGTCTCTCTCGATCAAACTGTGAGTGTAGCAATAAACTCAATCTTTAATTTAATAAAAAACGCTTTAAAAGTGACTCAAAATCAGGATGGAATTTGTGCCGTGTGATAAAAAGGTCATGTTTATGTTTCTTGTGATGTACCTAGTTGTAAATGGAACGCCGCAGTCTCTGTGATGGGGCAGGCCCGCTGCCCGAAGCGTATTACTCCGACTAGTATTAAACCGCGGTCTGGTTCTCTTCGTTTCAGCATATTCATGTATTGCAATTTTCGTGATATTCTTCATGCTTCATTCCTCTCACTTATTTAAAACACGGTGAATAAACTAAGAAGTCTTTAGTAATTAGTTGTTGAGTTGACTAGAGTTAAGTTATGATATATTTTTGTACTGTAGCGTTCTGACACTCTTGTACAAAGCGATCGCATTGTATGAATTAAACAGATGTTCAGTGATAGTTCAAGTTTGTTCTAATTTTATCGCGCACTTGCCCTTCCTGCAAACTAAAAATAATGGAAGAAAAAAAAAGTTACCTTTTCTGCTGGTGCGGACCAGAAATGGGATGAAGCACGATGAATTGACCTCACCAACACACATAAACAAAACACGATACGGCAAACTCATAAGAAGTGCGAATCCGGCGTCGTGCCCCACTTCCGTGTTGGCGAAACAGTGCAGTGACCTCGCACCGCCTCGCACTGCCTCGCACTTCAAGGCCGCCGTCACTCCTCATGCTGGGTGTGCCATCGACCACGTGGCCCGAGCATTTTGACGTGGCCCCGTGCCGCGTACCGTGCCGCGCCGCGCCGTGCCGTGCCGTGCCACGCCGTGCCACGCCTCTCACGGCGTGGACCGGTCGATCGGATGGTCACGAACCGCGTTGGACTCTAGTTAGGCCGGACTGACAGGGACGTCACAGGGTGCACTGTATGTCGGGTCAGGGCGGCCAGGGGTGGATCCAGAGGGTTCAGGGAGGAGGGAAATCACTGCCCGCTCTCGCTCCCTCCCTCTGAAGCCTCGCTCCGTTGAATGGATCATCGCGTATGATTGAACCATCACCACGTTCTCGAAAAATCAAGCCATTCCTGGAATGGTGGAATGCAAAACGGAATCCCAATGGTGATATCAATTGGGAGAGATGAGCGTCTTGCTCCTCCTGACGGAGCGCGCTACGGCGGAAACTTAGACACGGGAATGGCTCCCTTTTCCAGATAAGCGAGAGACTCAGTCCCTCTCTGTGGCCGCGGCTTCTCAAAGCCGACCAATCGATGGCAGGGCTGGAAGGGTCGCACTACCGCGACGGGTCAATCGGGGAACCAGCCGAGGCCTTCTTACCCAGTCACTCACTTCACTCACTCCTGGCTCACTCTGTATCTTCCACTCTCCCACGCACGCACGCAAAAGCTCCCCCCCCCCAAATCTCTCTTTCTCTCACACTGACACACACACACGCACTGACACACCTGCACCGCCACCCCGGCCCGGGTGGTGCAAGCGCAAGTTGCGTGGCCTCCCAAGGATGCTATTTTCCACATGGCACCGTGCTAGGGTGAGAAGGCCGGCCGGCCGGCGGCGCTGCACAGTGGGGGCGCCGGGACGGGCCGGCGGCGCTCCAGGGTGGGCCTTCGTGCTCGCCGGGGCCACCGAGGCCATGGCGTGCCGCCCCTGCCGCTCAGTCTGCTGTCCACAGCCTGCCTGGGAGCACGCCGCCCTTCTGCGCCTGTCAAGCAAGCAACAAGGTCAGTGGGGTTGAACTCGCACTTAGCGCGGTCAAAGAACAAGATCGGACTTAAAGCCCAGTATTTGAACCTCGGACAAACGTGATTCCTGCAGATGCCCGTGGTGACTGTGTACGGCGTCCTGCCCAGCCCGTTCTGCCGGCCTGTCCTCATGACGGCCAAGGCCGTTGGCGTTGACGTGGAGATGAAGACGACGAGCCCTCTCACCGGGGACACCCACAAGCCAGAGTATCTCGAGGTATCGTACTGAAGACAACACGGCATGGTTTCGTAATCATGATGAGCAGCCACGTTGTCATCGAGTTTTGGATTCCAAAGTACTTCCAAAGGCAATTGAACCCTTTTGCCGGTGCAATCCGTTTGACAACGCCGGACAACACCCGCTCACTGTAAAAAGTTCCGTACTTTTGTACGGAAATGGTACAGAAAAATATAGTACGGAGGTAGGAGAAAAATCCGGACGTCCGTACTTGCTCCATATGAACCCACGTAAACGGGTACGGAGAAAAAGTACGGAAGTTCCGTAGTTGGCAAGTACGGACGGTTCAGGCAAATTATTGACTAGACGTCTTCCGCACTTTTTCTGTACTTTTTTCTCACAGTGCTCTAAACAGAGCGGTCTAAATTTGCACCAGATTATGCAATACACTCCTTCCATTTCCCAGGGGGTAACGACTGGTAACTGGTAGATTTCGTGTCAGCCATGCATGCCATGTCAGCCTGCAGATTACAGGATTACCGGGAGGATTACCCGAGGATTACCTCCGGATTCAATCAAAAAAATTACAGGATTTACCCTTAGATTACGCCAGATGACCCCGGCTTACCCACACACTAAATGTTTTTGTACAAATTTTGTACGACACATCACAGTTTTATGTGCACACGAACTTTTCGTACAAATTTGTATAAAATTTTGTACAATTTTGTACAAAAATGGCGAAAATGTGCAGTTTTTCGTACGAAAATTGTACGAAAATTTCGTGTGCACAAAAAACTATGATGTCTCGTACAAAATTGTACATAACATTTAGTGTGCAAGTTGTTCAAGTCATTCAGTTCAACTATTCGATTACATTCTCATCCGGAAAATGCCAGAGTATGATGCCAACGGTGTGACCTGCTTGCAGATGAACCCGCGGCACAACATCCCGACCATGGACGACGACGGCTACATCCTGACAGAGAGGTGCGTCCCACCTTCAGGCTTTCGCTCAAGGACACGGCAAGGATTGCACAGAACCGCGATGTCGCCCTTCTTGTTGCAGTCGGGCCATCATGTGCTACTTGGTGGACAAGTTCGGCGAGGATGATGACCCTCTGTTCCCCAAGGACCCCCAGCTCCGCAACCGCATCCTGGAGCGCATGCTGTTCGACGTGGGCTGCCTGAGCCAGCGCTGTTATGACTACTACAATGTAATCGTTTTTCTCGAATCCATTTTAATCCGCCGAGTCTGCCGATTTCTAATGGCAGCATGCCGTTGTCAAATGGGACAATTGGCACTTTATCGCATTTAATTATGCATTTGTTGGTACCTGCTTTCTCGGTTTCAAAGACGCGAGTCACATTTACTGTCAGGGATCCCGCCTCGCCATAGAGTGCGAGTGACACGAGCAGCTGACGTGGAGGGAGAGTGCACTAGGCACTCACTTTAAGTTCACTCCTTACGAGCATGAAATTAATCTGGTACTATAAACCTATTCACTGAGAAAACCTTACAAACTATTACAGGTCTTACAAAGCAAAGCAGTTTGTTAGAACAAAGTATTTTGAGCATACATAAGCTAACGAAGAAAATACTTCGAAATTTACGAACTATTTTTACGTTTAACAAAGTAAATTAGTATGTACGTATGTATGCTTTAAATACTTCGTAAGGTTTTAAGGGTGTTGATAAAGAGCTTCCATAAATTGCTTCAAAGTAAAAAATTATCATAGAAAATGTCAAAGGGAAGTTCCTGCCTGTCCTGTTACAGAGCCCTTCCTTTGTGATTTTGGTTGCGTTGGATTGTAATTTTCACGGCGGCAGGCGTAAGGGGAAGATTGCGCGACAGAGGGGAAAAAGAGGGGGAGGGGGGATTATCGTGCGCACACACCGATGGGTCCTTTGTTCTATGCCCTATGTCCGTTGGGTCACTCGAACAGAACGATGGCCTCCAACCCTTCAACGCGTTCATTTTGAAGTTTCAGAGCAATACACGTGTCTATTGCTCACCAATGAGTTTCAGATAAACATTGTCTAAAATGTTCCTGCAAACTATTTTTTGAGTTTGGCGTCCGAAATAAAGAAATGGCGAATGCATGATCGGGCGAAATCGAAGGGTCCTTTTCAAAAGATCTTATCTGCCCCCCCCCCCAATCTTATCTTAAACGCATGCAAATTTCACTCAGTTTGATCATTTGATACAGCTACAAATCAATATAATTTGTCATTAAATTCAATCAAATGTGAAGATGAAAGATTAAAGAAACCATTGTGCGTGTAGAAATATATTCCGCTTACTCTCGCACCCGTCCCAAATGGTCAATTGAAGTGAAATTTGCCTGCGTTTAAGATAAGATTCTCTTGGGGGAATTCGCAGATAAGACATTTTTTGAATGGAACCCCTCGAAATCGAGATCGGTCTTTGTTGGAGCGACCCGAAGGAGAACGGTCTCCCATCGAGGCGCCCTGACTACGCGGCATGTTCCTGTCTAGGCTTCAGCACAGCCTCTGATTGCAGCGCGAATGGATTTTCGGCGACGGTGACTTGGACGAGTCTAAGCTGGCGCCGCTGACTGAGGCCATGGGTTTCTTGGACAAGTATTTGGAAGACAGCAGCTGGGTGGCTGGTGACAACATGACTCTGGCAGACATCGGCCTGTGCGTCACCCTGATCCAGCTCGAGGTAACTGTGTAACTACCCCATGCGCCAGAGACGCTCGGCCCGATACCCCCTGCCTCTCCGGCCATACTCCGAGCCTCTGAGGCTATCAGTCTCGGGTGGCCACTTCTGCCCGACAGAGCGCGCCACCGGCCAAGGGACCAAGCGCTGCTTGCTGCGCGCGGAGTGGCCAATCAATTTCATCGCCAGTAACATGACAACATTTCTCTTCTTTAGGTTTTCGGGATGGACTTTGAGCCGTACGCCAACGTGACACGTTGGTATGAGGCGTGCAAGACCGACGTACCTGGCTTCGATGAAATCAACGAGGAGGGCGTCAAGATCTTCAAAGCAATCATCAACAAGTGAAGTAACTTCCCCCAGCGGCACGCACAAAGTATAGAGCTTTTTTGGTGGTGCAATTTGAAATGGCAACAGTTGTGATGATTGTTATTAGATCAATAAAACGTACGTAAGTTATGTAACGGCTGTCCCAGAGTTAAAGTGAATCCAAATTGTTTTTTTTCAGTCCATCAAGAATGATAGCATTAACTTCTTGTGGTCCGCCTTGTCTGCTTGATAACGTAAATTGGCACTGCCGTAGAAACAGCAGATGTGGCCACAGTTGTGGACTATTTATGTGCACAGAGTGAAGAGGAAGAAGCTTAAAAGTTCATTCAAAGAGTACGGCTTAAACCAGAGTGACCAGTAGACCAGTAGAAAAAAGTAGACGGACTCTAGTTCCAGCATCGGCAATTCAAGAAAATAGGACTCACCTACTTTGAGACAGCCTTTCGGATTTAGTTATTACACGTCAGGGCGTAGGGCTGGGCGAACGGTTTGAAACCAAATCGAATCGAATATCGGTCCTTATTCGATTTGATTCGTGTTCAAATTAGGACGATTTTTTAAGCAAATAGTTCGGCCAATCGAATCAGCACTGCTTCATCTTCGATTTTTCAACCGCAAAACGCCAATTTTGCCGTTACTAACTCTGATAAATTTGGTTCAAATCTGAGTTTATTGGAGTTTGATTGGAGGCGCCTATTTTTAATGAGATTAGATTCGTTTTGAAAAATTCGGAGCAGATGTGATTCGATTCAATTTGAGATGAAAATCCTTGATTCGCAGAGCCCTTATAGGCTTACGAGCACTTAGACTGTACATTAGGCACCGTGTGAATATTACGTCACCACTTAGGGGTAAAGGGGGCGAGATTCCATGACCTGTCTTTATAAAAAGGAAATGTGAGGTTAAACCGATGATGGACGAGAGGGAGGGGGCCAAAAAGATGCCTAAAGGAGGTGACGTAATATTGGCTCGCCACCCTCATTGTGAATATGAAAGGGCCATGATAGCGACCAAAATGTTTACCCAGGAAAGATGGATTGTCCAACTTCGATAAAGGTTTTCCTTTTCGTGATCAAGGGTTTTTTCTTGAGTCATCCTTTCACGTATAGCCCATACATATTGCAGGTGATGAACTAGTTTTAATTGGGTGACAAGATCTTAGCCACTCAAAACTTTGGGGTTATCATGACTCTTTCATAGTGCTGGTTCCTTTCCAACTACGATAATTAGTTTTGTGTCGATCATAGTGGAAAAATTGTCTATGATAAGTGTAAGATAAATGAATGAAATAAGAGGCCGGTTTGTAGTGGAGTTTGGGCTAATAATCCCGTTAAATTTTCAAAAAACACTCTCATTTCAGGAACGTGACATCACTTCGAAACGAATGTGAGAAAATGTTGCGTTCATTTGAGCATCGCCACATTCGTATGAATGTAAGTCCGCCACAAATTAGCCTTTTCACATTCAAACCAACGTGACGCAATGCTCAAAGGAACCACAGGTGGCCAAAGAATGTGACGTCACGTTCGCTTTCACGTGAAGACGGCGGTGTTAGTTTGAGCGTGACGTGAAAGCGAACGTGACGTCACATTCTTTGGCTACCTGTGGTTCCTTTGAGCATTGTGTCACGTTGGTTTGAATGTGAAAAAGCTAATTTGTGGCGGACTTACATTCATACGAATGTGGCGCAATGCTCAAATGAACGCGACATTTTGTCACATTCGTTTCGAAGTGATGTCGCGTTTCTGAAATGAGTGTGAAGTCTGTGGAAAGAAGGACAAATGACGCGGCAACTAGGACAAGGTTAGACATTCATATTGGTTCCACCCTTGACGGCGGTGCTGCCGGGACAACAACAGAGATGGGATGAGGAAGACTGTGTCGAGGTAGCATTCTGACGTCAGCATCGGAACTGGGGCAATCAGACGAGACGGAGACAGGAAGGGCTCTTTAAAAGAAATTGGAAGACCGAGCGCACCCAGCATTTGTTTCCAGCTGCTGAAAATGTACATACAATGACGCTCACGCCACCCACCCATATTCAGTGTCCTGCATGGTTTCTCTCAGAACTCGAAGTGTTTGTTTCAGTTCTACTTATTGTTGTTGTCATCGTGTTGGTCCCCCAGAGTTTAGTACCGACCTTGATCAGGGAAGATATTTGACGGGAAATTGAGAACCCTCAGTGTTGCCCATCAACCTCAATAAGTAGTGACAGTGGGAGGCTCATGCTTGCCGGAGCCGTTTGTTGAACGTCCAAGCTTAAACCTTAGGACTGAATCCGAAGACGACGGAGAAAGGATATCGCTGTTTGATTGAGTGATGTAGTGTGTTGAAGAGTCATGCCTTTCATCAACCCCTCCTCAGAAAACCATCCTTACTCTCCCGGGCGCTAAGAGACCATCCTTTCTCGCCGGGGCGCTAGGAAACAATCTTAATTCGCCCGGCGCTGCGAGAATATGTGAACTCGACAAATCCTATCAAGTTATGGTCTCCCAGCGCCCGCGTGTGTTAAGCTTGTTAGCACCCCGGTCAGTTCGGATATGGTCTCGCACCCCGGCGAGAAAGGGTAGTTTTCTTAGGAGGGGTCGTCGTAATCGACGAGTGTTGTTTCACGCGCTCCAACGCCATTTCAAACAGAGATAATCCATTTTTTGCACCCTTAAACGTACTGCCGGTGCGGTTTAAGGAGGAGGGTGATTGGGCGGTGTGCGTAGGCAAAATATACACGATTGGTTCTCCCCTTAGACTGCACGGTAAGACTGGGTCCTGGATCTTCCAGGACCGTCCTGGCTTCTCCTATACTAAATACATTGGAAAACCAGGACGGTCCTGGAAGATCCACGACCCAGTCTTACCGTGCGCCTTGTTTACTTGAGCTTGTAAAGGTCTTAGAGACCTCACCTGCGTTGCGGTAGAATGTTTACCGTGTGGTATTGTACACCTTGTGACTCTTGTTAATGTTTGCATGTCAAAACGATTCGAAAATAAAACAAAACGAGTAAAAGCGACATTCTGACTACCTTGGTGCTCTCAGAGCAAAAGTCGGGTGCGTGGGCACCAGCTATTCGCGATACGCCACTTTATTTTGCCCGAGGTTTTTAAATAGTGGGACTACGTGAGGTGGTTATCCCCGACGCAAGTTCCTGGGGAGTGGGTGGGCAGTTGAAACTAGACTGCGGGCGACGGCCCATATTTATGAAGCCCTCGCCCCCCTCGCCCCGTTCCCCCCTCCCCACTTCCCACATGCCCCTCCTCTCCTTCCCACTCCCTCCTGCGCGCCAATATACCCTGATTGGCTTTAAATCTTGACCCATGCACCTCCGAGACGGGCCGGACGGCTGGACTGGCACCTCGGAGCCACGGGGCGCGGCACGCGGCAGGCAGGGGCGGCTAGGGTGGCAGGGCCAGCCGCCGGTCAACGCCCAACCACTCTCGGAAAACTATTTTCAAGAAAGGGACTAAATTGCGACCGTCCCGGAACAGCTCTGCGCCTTGTGTCGCGTGGCTGGACCGAGAGGCCGGTGGCCGCTGGTGGCCGCCGGTGGCAGAGGGCGGACGTACTCGCCTCTCGCGTTCGGGGTCCGGCAGGCTTCGGGGTCCAAGGAAGATGAGTTCGAAGAACTCATCAGTCCACTACATCAGTCCACTGCATCAGACCACAGCAAAAATATTTTAACGTTTCACTCACCAATGTGTCGAAGATTTTAACATTTGGAAAGTTTGGGAAAAGTGCAATGAACTGTTACATTTGCCTAACCTGCAACGAAAAGTAATGAAGGGGTTAGTTAAAAATATTCAAACTAAAAAAAAAGTCGGTTGAAGTTAAGATTGACCACCAAGAGTAGAAATACGTTTCAAACTATTCTTTTCATTGCTAGTTTTCTTAACTCACCGTTCAAAACACTAAAAGTTTAGTGATTGCTGTCACATTTGGAGCGTTCTTTTTCTTATTTCAGCCCATTTTCTCGGTTCTGATACTCTGTCCCAAAAAAAGAAACGGATGTAGGTCCCTTTCATTTCTCCACGTCTGGTTGTCACCAATCCAGCAAAGGCACCGTCCGCCCCAAAAAATGTCGGCGGGACTGGCTTTAATGGCTCCAGCCGGTGCTTGGTGTCAGAAGCAAAGTCGAGCGCTCCGGGGCCTTGGACGTGGCTGGCCTCCTCACTTGACGATGGGTCCAGAATGAGCCAAAAGCGGCAGGCGGCCAGCCAGCCAGCCATACGGTGCACGCCCATACGGTGCACGCCCATACGGCGCCTGTCCTTGACCAACTCGCCGCTCGCCTTCCCGGGCCGGGCAGCCGCCGCCGATCGCTCACTCCAGTCTGGCCTCACGAAATGACAGGAATCACGATATGTGAATTAACAAGCACGCCCCGCCCCCCGGACGGGAGCAATATAGCTTCGGTGTCCTACTTGTAGGGTTGTCCACAATAATTGGCCCATCCCCTTTCTCCTCTATGACGGAATGCTCCTCCCCCCCTCCCCCCCCCCCCCCCGTTGTTCAGATATCGTCTAGAAGAAAACAGCAGTAATTGTCTCATAAGTTAACCAACGAACCCGGGCTCTCGATCGAAATCGTGCTAAATAATAGTGTGGTGTCCTACTTGTAAAAGGTTGTCCACGGCAGTTGGAAACTCCCCGCTGCACTTCCCCCTCCCCTCCCCTCCTCCGCCTTTCGGATCTGGTCACTGATTGGCCACGTAACAAGGAGAAGCAGCCAACCCGCTGGAGCGCGGCCAAACGGCCCGGCGAATTCATCAGAAGACAAAGAAAAAGGCACGGACGGTGCGGCTGCATGTGGTGTCGTGTTTCTCTCTCTGTCTCTGTCTCTCCTCTCTGTCTCTCCTCTCTGTCTCCCCTCTCTCTCTCTCTCTCTCTCTCTCCTCTCTCTCTCCCTCCCCCCTCTCTCTCCCCCCCCCCCCCTCTCTCTCTCTCTCTCTCTCTCTCTCTCTCTTGGTCTTTTGGTTATTTTCTAGCCGGTCCCCATGTGGGGCCGCCTGAATAAAGGAAAGCACGGCACGAAAGGTACTCGGAGGCGCCACATCGCCAAGGCGGCCAAGGCGGCCAAGGCGGTGCGGGGGCCGTTCGAGGCTGTTCCAGGCCGTTCATTGTTCGCGCCGAAAGGGCCGTGAATGCAGGACGGAACCCGCTCGCTCCGCCTCTCCCCAGGGATCGCCCCGCCCCGCCCCGCCCCGCCCCGCCCCGCCAGGGACGCGGGCCGCGGACGGCGCTCCAGGCAGGAAATGGCATCCGTGCGCTGCTTCCGTCAAAGCATAATTACTGCTTCGCTCTCAAGATACACGTCACCCTGCAGGTCGTGCCGCGGGCCGTGCCGCGGCGCAGCCCAGACAACCGAGCATTTGCGGAGGACCGTTTCATCGCCCCGTCTCTCTCGCGCTCCCGTGGGACGCGCCGTGCGCAACGGAGAAAGTGCGACAGTTCTCGGAACCAGTCCGCAACCGCCCTTTCGATTTGGGGCTGCAGAGGTGCTCGACGGGCTTCACTACATGGCGGTGAGCACGCCAGGGCTCGACAGGGTGCCGGAGAGCACGGGAGAGTACGGCAGGGCACGGCAGGGCACGGGGGAGTACGGCAGGGCAGGGCATGGCAGAGCGCGGTAGGGCAGGCCGTGGCAGAGCATGCCACGGTTGGCGGGAAAATCAATGTGACGTGATTTGAGCAGCAGCCCGCGCTGCGGGTAGAGGCGTGGCGTGGCACGGTGTGGCCTGGCGTGCAGTGGCGTGGCACGGCGTGCATTGTCCGCCCCGCCCCCCTTAAAGTTGGCCCTTGATGATGCGTCTTCATTTGACGCGGGGCGTCCTTGTGGTCCTTGTCGTCCCTGGAGCCCTCAGCGCGCCTCAGCGCCGAGAGCACCGCAGCACCCCAGAACACTGCAGCAAGGCACGCTGCAAGTTGGGGCGAGCCAAGCAGAGCCACGCCGTTCGGAGAGTACCGCGCGCCGGCCTCAAAATGATGGCGTTAATTTGGGCCGCTATATAAGAGGATTGTCTGATGGAACGGCCGCAGCGGCGGCAGCGGCGGCAGCGGCAGCCCCCGGAGACGGCCTCGGCCGCCCTGCCCCACCGAGTGCCCCACACACTAGGAGTGGAGTGGAGAGTGAAGTGGAATGGCAGTCGCAGGTGCCGGCGCCAAGCTGCCAAGCAAGTACTTGCGAAGCACCGCGAAGAACTTGCGAAGCACGGCGCAGAACTTGTGAAGCACCGCGAAGAACTTGCGAAGCATCGCGAAGAACTTGCGAAGCACCGCGAAGAACTTGCGAAGCACCACGAAGAACTTGCGAAGCATCGCGAAGAACTTGCTAAGCACGGCGTAGAACTCGCAAACACCGCGAAGAACTTGCGAAGCACGGCGCAGAACTTGCGAAGCACGGCGCAGAACTTGCGAAGCGCCGCGAAGCTGCAGGGGTAGTCAGTGTGGCGGCCTTGAAACGGCCTTGAGAAGGCAAGGCCGGCCAAGGCATGAGCCGCCGTCACTACCAACCGCCACCAACAACGCACCATTATCCGCACCACAATTTCCAATTAATCCTGGCGGTCCGCGCTACACCGACACACACGGAGAGAGAGAGAGAGAGAGAGAGAGAGAGAGAGAGAGAGAGAGAGAGAGAGAGAGAGAGAGAGAGAGAGAGAGAGAGAGAGAGAGCATGTGTTGTGTGGCAGCAGCGGGCCGCAGCAAGCGCAGCGTCAAAATTGCCTCGTTCAGCCTGGGTGAGCAATAATATCTGTTTCGCCAAAAGTAATTTGAGAGGGCCTTCTTTCTTTTTACACACGATCCTCTTCACTCGTACGCTTCACCACATGATTGGCTCATCCGCCTCGTTTTTAAAACGAAATACCGTGGGAACTCTGCAAACTCCAAGTGTGTGCCAGGTATGCACTTCTTGGTGCATGCCTGCAGGCACACACTTGCCGTCGCTAAGGTATGCATAACAGCAAGTGTGTGCCGTAAGCAAGCGTCCGCATGCGGCAAAGAATTGTGCCTGCCAGGCATGCAGAAAAGAAGTGCG